ATCCTTCACGATGATGTATAGGTCCCACATAAATTGGACCTTATTATTAATTTTTTAAAATTTTACTTTAAGTTCTGGGATACATGTGCAGAATGTACAGGTTTGTTACATAGGTATACATGTGCCATGGTGGTTTGCTGAACCCATCAACCAGATTTTAAACCTGTATGCATCAGGATAAAGGGAATTGGACCTTATTTATCCCTTGACTTTATGGCATTAAACTCCTCCCCAGGTTCTGGCCATACGGTCTTTTATAGTTCCTTTGAACATAATAAACTCACTATTGTCTTATGGCCCCTGCACTGTTCTCCCTTCCTGGAATATTCTTTTTTCTGACGTAACGGTTGCCTGAAATTTCAGCTTAAATATCATCACTTTAAGAGTAGTATTCCTTTGAGCAAGGCTGTAGAGGGATAATCATACCATCAACAGCAGTGGGACTTCCTAAAACTCTTCCTAACTCATTTCTCCTCAAAGCCCTGCATTTCACATTCATCTTTAACAACTCTAGCCAGTCCTGATGTCTTCCCTGCTGTCCCTCTTTACAGTCACGCTCCCCAAACCTCCTATGTTTTTATCTTATTTTTTCATGAAAATCCATATAATTGCTTATGTAGATGGATACAAAACACAAGAAGAAAAAAAAGGCCATCTGCTGATCAACAATACAGGCTTCTCCTCTGGTAACAGGATGGGAGTTGATAAATTCTTTTGAAAAAAATATTAGACTCAGGTCTCCTCTAACAGAAGTAAACGAGTACAAGTGAACAAGTTTCATCATGTTATGCCGATCAAATTCAGACCAAAGTTTTCCTTCTATAAATATGCCACATATATGCAAAGCTTTAATGTAGAAATGAAAACCAGCAGGAGCATTTTGTAGAGAGATCACAACACCTGCATGATTCATCTGTTTGGTATCTAACATAATCTAGACTCTTGGTGCATATTCATGCCAGTAACAGTTAAAAAAAAAGTTACGGTAAAATTTCTTAAGTAATTGTGCTATTATCAGTGTTGCAGATTTCTCATGAATTTTACTCTATGATTTGCAAATTCAAACAGAATTTTGCAGAATTAAGGAAGGTATGGGGCATTAATATAAAATTGAAGATAGCCATTTCTTATGGCTATCTTAAGAGTAGGGAATGCTTCCCCCACTGGGTTTTTCTAGTGATAGGTCCTCCCAAGTTCATGACTAAATGACAGTAAACTCCCTTCCCAGACTCAAAGTTTTGTCAGGTTAGGGGAGATGGGTAACATTATTGAGTAATTAAGAGCATTAAAACTGAGAAGAGGTTGCAGGATTTACAGATTAGTGAAACATTATTTATGTATGTAATGGCTTTAGTCATTACTTATATAACAGTTTCAGTATACAGTAGAGTCAAGAAAACGACAGCACAGCATACCCTATTCAAGGCTTTTCAATGCAACTGAAAGAAATGACAGAAATGTGAGGAATTATGTTTGACAAAGAACAAAAGCCAGTGGAAAAGTCATTCCAGGTGTAACAGAATGTAAAAACCACTAATGACGCACAAGAGTAATAAGAAAAAAATGATGAAAAGAGAAAAAGGAAAGCAGAAAGAAAAGCATCAAAGACATCTGCAAAAGGGTAACTCTAATAACTCCATCAGGGGTCATACAGAGCTATCAATGCTGGTCATGTTCTAATGTGGCCAGATATTCATAGGAAATTGACTTACCCGCTCTTCAGCTTCTGTCAATACATTCATAGCTCTCATATTGACATTTCTTCCTAGTTTCTCCTTCATTTCTTGCAACTTCTGAAGTCTCTGACCAGCTTCTTTAGGGTTGTTAGTTTTGAAATCATAGGCACTATTGGGTTGGCCAAAGAGGTGTCTCTCTGCATTAATCCAGTCATAATCTTTCAACATTTTGGATACCTAGCCACATATAAAAATAGATGGAGATCTACAAATGTTTACAAACCAATATATATAAGCCAGTTTCTTAAATATTTAATACTTTTTAATCAAATACTGAAGAGGAAAAAACCTTCAATGACTGATTTTTTTGTTTGTTTGTTCGAGATGGAGTTTCGCTCTTGTTGCCCAGACTGGAATGCAACGGGGCAATCTCGGCTCACCACAACTTCGCAACCTCTGCCTCCCAAGTTCAAGTGATTCTCCTGCCTCAGCCTTCCGAGTGGCTGAGATTACAGGTATGCGCCACCATGCCCAGCTAATTTTGTATTTTTAGTAGAGATGGG